TAATATTTTTATATTTTGAATTTTCAAATGTACTCTTCAGTTGGCACTTTTTGAGTCTTAAGATGTATATAGTATAAGTATGTATAAAGTATAAGATGATATGCATCACAGAAATATGTTCTATATGATAAGAGGCAAAGAATATATGTTGCTGTATTTCTTTGTTTCTTGGAGAACCAGTTGTGGCCACAGGGCTTAAATATCAGGTTATCCTGCCTGTAAAGTTCATTGACAAAACAGGATAGTGAAATGGAGAAAGTGTGAAAGAGAGAAAGGTGTGAGTGCATCATGGTAAAAAGGAGGTCTAAGAAGAAACAGATGTAGTTAACAATAGAAGAGTTAATAATTGGGCAAGTAGTTTTGGCCCTCCTTTGACAAGGCACTTATTTCTCATTGCAGGCTTAAGCTTAATTTTGTTGTTGAACAAATCTGGGCCCTAGCTTTTGGAAGAAAAAAACTAGGACACATTTTCAGTGTTCTGGAAAACAAGGGCAAACTAGGTTTTTGCCTGGCTAGGCAAAAGTAGAAGAACAAGGAGGAGTCAAATATAAAATACTTAATTTTTAACTACAACAAAACCTGGGAATTGTTTCTCAGGTACCTTTAATTATTTACCCTGTTTCTTGGAACTCCCAGTCATCTGCCATTCTAGGTGAGTCTCTTTAGAAAAGTGATCACAAAAAGAGCTACTATATTCTTGCCATCTTGTTGCTAAGTAGGCCGTTGACTATTTCTAGAAAGAACAACATAAACCCAAAGAAAAACAATTAATATAGAAGAGCGTGAAAGAGATGAATCCTGGCAGTTGCTTCTAATTCTTTAATAAAATAGATCTTTCATGTTTCAATGGTTTATGAGTCCTAATCATCATGATTTTTTTAATCTAATAACTGTGAACAGCTTGTGATGCACCATTATAAAACTAATGTCTCCCAGCAGTAACAACATGACTGTAGACTTAGTCTGAGGTGGGAATCCTGCCAAAAACAATTACACTTTGTGCATTATCCGCTGGATCACCACTATATATTTGGAAATACCATCCCTTCTTTTCCCCCTGCTCCTGAGAGACCAAATTCCCCAGAACAATTGCAAGCATTTGTCTCGAGACAAAGTCTAAATGCTTATTTTTAGCAAGTTTTTATTATATGGCATAGATGCTCTCCCACTTATCTTTAGAGGAATTTCACACACAACAGCCCAGCACTGAGGTTCTTCAGTGTAGAACCATGACACTGATCTCTGCTGATGAAAATTTAGTTTCACCTGGATTAAAGTTGATCCTGATTTTTCTGGGTGACCCACGTAGCTTAATATTTGCTAATGTGTGTTATGTCCTTAATTTCAAGATTTGTGTTAGAAAGAGTTTTGATTTCACATCCAGGGGGCTGTGGTTGAATTAAATGAGATTTTTTATCTGTGTGGCAGGTTTATTAATAATTCTAAAAATATAAAATGTTTTTGCTTTTATCTTAGTATTCATCAGGATTAAGTACACATGTGTGTGGAATTCAGCTTTTAAGCTGCAGCTCCTGTGTGTAGCTAGAACTGCAGTGACTTGACTTACCTAGCTGGAGATGGTTCTTTGTACTTGTCTCTCGCTTTGTGTGGGAGAGGAGATTCCAGTTTTACCCATCTTCCCCAGGAGATGACACATACATGTAAGGATTGGTGATTTACGAGGTGTAAAAATTATTAAATGAAGAGCCATTCGCTGTGTGAATCCCAGAGAACTGTGTTTGGTCAGTAGGCAATAAGTAACTAGTGAAGAGAAGTAGTATGAGTTTGTGCCATGCCAGGGAGGATGTTCAGTTTGAAAGAACAGCAGTTTTCTTCTGAAAACTGCTGCACTGGTTGCATGTGTGTGTTGCTGAAGGGCTACAGAACTCCTTCACACCTTTGAGTGCAGGTCTGTTCTGTGGGTGAAAGGTGGAGTAACACCTTTTGCACTGTTGTGGGTTCATCCCAGCCAGCAGCCAAGCACCCACACAGCTGCTCGCCCACTCCCTGCTACCCCCAGTGGACAGAGGAGAGAATAGGAGGAGCAAAAGTGAGAAAACTTGTGGGTCAAGATAAAGACAGTTTAATAAGTGAAGGAAAGAGGGGAGAAATAAACCCACCCAACTGATGCAAAGGCAATCATTTGCCCTCTCCTACAAGCAAACTGATGCCCAGCCAGTCTCCAAGTAACAGTCCCCTTGGAAGCAAGAGCCCCCCACCCTCTTCTTCCTCTACCCCAGTTTAATGGCTGAGCATGACATTATATGGCATGGAATATCCCTTTGACCAAATTTGGGTCAACCGGCCTGGCTGTGTCCCCTCCCAGCTTCTTGTCCACCCCGAGCCTACTCACTGGGATGGGCAGGGGGGAAAAGAGAAAGCCTTGACGCTGTGCAAGCACTGCTCAGCAATAGCTAAAACATTGATGTGTTAGTAATGCTTTTTTGGCCAAAAATCCAAAACACAGCACCATATGGGCTGCTATGTGGAAAGTGAACGCCACCCCAGCCAGACCCAGTACATGCCCACAGTTCATGTTTGAAGCCTACCATAAGTAATCTGGGCTCTTTTTGTTTGCTATCGCAAATAATTGTGATTTTTTTTTTTCTTTTTTTTTTTTTTGTCTTTTTCCAAGTGGAGTGGTGTTTTTTTTTTTTAAAACGGAAGTTGAGATCTATTTAGTTACCATGAGTTCAGGAGCCAGGACAGAGCCTTAACTAAAACTTGCCAACAGCATGGGCAGATTGAGCTTCATTACCCAAAAGATATTTAGCCGAGGCCTGACAAGTCCAGATCTTTCCAGTGTCAGGAAGGGGAGGGAGTGATGGGGGAGAACCTGAGCCAGAGACTAGAGCACAGTGCTCCAAAGAGCCAGGCTTTTCTCTATTAGGAGTGGCAGTGGTGCTTCTGAGAAGGCACCACCTGTGGTTTTCAAATTTTCTGGTGCAGGCAGCTGGCCCTGGTAGTTGGCTGTTGGAGGCAGCGTTATTTCATCTATGCTTAAAATCATTGACTGGTGATTGAAGAAAAGCAGTGTGACAGGAGATGTGATAGCATCCTAGGAATCAGCAATACTGGCATAAAACTTTTTTATTTTTCAGTGATCCTGGGATGACACTGTTGTCTCTGTCACCTTACATGCAGCATTAAAATGGTTTCATATGGAAGATCACAGTAGCATGCCAGAAAGAGTCTTCTGCAGAATTCTTGCCCAGGCATCCAAATGTAAACTGATGCTTTATTTTAATGTGCATTTTTGAGGATGGATTATGAGACATTAACACCTTTACTGTAGCAAGTTCAGAATGTATTTAGCCTTCGCTGCAGATGGGAAACAATTGTTCTTGTGTGTAGGGAGGTAATGAGGTGGTTTTGTCTCAGTGAGAGCATAGTGATTTGGAATAGAACAAGGAGTTCCAGTTACTTAAACAGAAAAGCTACTCAGAAAATTCACAGCCTTTTTCAGAAACCTTTGTTTATTCAGTGTTATACCCTTAATACACTTGAGATAATATTATTGGAACTTTACGTAACAATTTGCAGTTGGAACGGAAGAGGTCTGACCGTCTTGTACCCTAGCCCTGGAAAACCTGCAGCATCCTTTGGTAAAGAGGTATTACTCATCGAATTTTTTAATCACTTGTATTCTCTCACCTGAGGTGAAATTCTGACCTAATTAAAGTTAATAGGTGATAGCTGTTGAAACTGGCAGACTCAGAATTTCACCCATACTGTTTAGGTGCTTTTAATTGGAGTATAGAAATAATTAGGCTATGAGAGATGACTGTGGTAGCAAAGATAGATAGGCAAAGCCATGAAAAGAGAATAGCAATGAAAAATAACAGGCATAAGGGGATGTTATTTTTTGTAAGATTAAAGATGCGATAACTTTAAAAGATAAAATATTGTATTAATATTAATCCAAATCTGAGAAATTTTAAAAATAAGTCAACTTATTTTTGTCCTTACGTGAATTATGTTCAAGGATTAGTGCACTAAATAGCTGGGCAAAATTAGCTTCAATTACACTGTGATTTATATCTATAAGCAGGTCAGGTGTAGCAGGGATTGCAATGAGGCTGACTCAATGTTTTCTGTAGAAGGATGTCTCTTGTTCAAGGTGACTATGTGCAAACCAAAGAGTACGTAGGTGATAAATGAGAATTAATCAGAGATGAACATTTCCTTACTGTAGCCTGATTTTAGAACTTAGGCACTAGTATAGCCTGCAGTGTCAAAGAGAATAACCCAGAAGAACTAGCTCTTTTACGTAGGCTGCGGTGGTCAGTAGCATTCATCAGTTGGCTTGCATTGTCTCCAGTGATGAAAAGTGAATGATCAGCATGCTGTTTACACCTAGGAGGTTATTCTTTCTGCAGCACGACCTCAAGTGTCATCAGAAGGACCAGCTTTTGCTGAGTCCTACAAAGCAAGAATTAAAAATAACGCCTTGAAAGAGAAGGGTTTTAAAGCAAGTCAACTTTTTACTTTTCTGCTGTTAATAGATTTGCTTCTAGTTTTGGCTTTGTATTTCCCCAAATTGAAAGTTATTTAAGGTATTTTGCAAAAAGCTCAGTGAGTCTTGACCTCAGAGCCAATTTATTTTTAACATGACAAAAAGTTATCTATTTCCATAACACTATGTGTGGTCATAATGACTCATTTTATAAATTACAGCTGGCATTGATGTTTGCATCACTATTCTTTATTCCTATAAATTGAATTTAAGAATAACTTTGTGAGTTTTATTTCTAAATTAATTGTCTAGGAATGTGAACCACATCTCTGATTTTGTTGTAGTTGTTTCTAGCGGAAGCTTTATATTACTGATTGATAATACTAACAAATAATAATCTCCATAGCAGAATATTACTGTTTTCTCCTGGTATTTATGTGATCAGACAATTTCATTATTTCTTGTAAATATATACATCATACAGTTTTCAATAAATTTTTTGAAAAAATTCTCCCACCTAATTGTTTTTCTTTCTCCCTCCTAGTCTGCTCCCAGTTTTCAAGAGGAGTCTTTGCTATTTTTGGATTCTATGACAAGAAGTCTGTAAATACCATAACATCGTTCTGTGGGACTCTTCATGTCTCCTTCATAACTCCCAGCTTCCCAACAGATGGAACACATCCCTTTGTCATTCAGATGAGACCTGACCTCAAGGGAGCTCTTCTTAGCTTGATCGAATACTATCAGTGGACCAAGTTTGCATACTTGTATGATAGCGACAGAGGTAAGATGTGGTACTTTTTATTTCCATGCTGGTTGCTAGATGTATCTCACTGAAATGCTAAAATAGTATTAGAAAAGTAAACGAGGAAAGGAATATTTACCTGCAGCAAGTTTAAGTGTAAGCTTCAATTTAGAAACAAGCTTTTGGGACAGAAACAAAATTGTTTAAATGAGAATGAAATTATTACAGTACGTATTAATAGAATTGCAAGCATGTGCTGTTAAGCAATGTGAGATTAATCACACGTTGTAAAAAAAGTTCCTATGAAAAGTTTTTTCTTTTTTTTAAAGAATCATCTAAGGAGGAAAAAAAAAAAAACATCTGAGCATGAAGGGCAATCTACTACCACCGATTCACTCTACACATGCAAAGTCGATAGTTGGGCACCAAGGAAGCAAGAATCTTGGATGCTTCTTTGGAGACTGCTTTTGATAAATACTCAAGTTCCTCTCCTCTGTTGAGCTTAGGTTTTTTTGTTGTTGTTGATAAACCCAAATCCACTGCTTGTGAGCAATTTACTCCGCGGTACAGCCTTCTCAAGTCCTATGCCCTTTTATGGCTGTAATACTAATAATAAAACAATTTATGAACTGGGAAAAATCATTTGCAAATTGTGGTATATTAATTAGTTTTCTGAGAAGAAGCAGCATTATACAGAAGTGGGGGTTTTTTGACTGCCCTTTCTGGAATTCCATTCTTATCATTCTGTTTTCAGGTTCTTCTCACCTAGTAGTCCTTGGCTAACTTTTTTCTATTCTTACCTTTTCCTGTTCCTCCTGTTCTCTTTGAAAAGGCTATTTTGTGGCTCACCTGCATGTTCATTGGTCAGAGTTGAATATTAAGTGCACATTAAATGGTGAGATGCTACTAGATTTAAAGGATGGTTATGCCACACCATGGTTTGTTGAGTAATGGGGTGACATTAGATTCTCTGCATTCTGATGCCATTTTATACATTATGTTGTTCAGAAGCTGAAGGGACCGTTCTTTTAGAACTCAAGACAGTTCTTTATCACTATTGTAAGCACTAAAGTTAGAAAAACTAATACTGGTATGTAGCCTCCAACGGTAATGTCGTGTTGGATGATGAATCCTAAGCCCATTTCTCTGGCAGATCCTTTTCAAATTCACAGTAGAATAAGAAACATTCACTGCCACAGATGTAAAACTACTTGCTTAGCCAATACTGTGTCAATCAGCTAGCAGTGTGCAGTATGTGACCTGCATGTGATTTATATCTAGGAAATACTGAAAAACACTTAGTTCTTCTTGTGAGCTGCACTGGCTGAATCTGGCCAGGAATAACAGCGTGAAATTGTTATTTCTAGTCACCCTTTGGCTATGCCTTTTTTCCTTATTTGTTTTAATTATGTCAAGGCACCCCAGTGATAACAAGCTCCAAGGCATGAAACTCCTACCTTTATGTTGAGTGAGTCGTTGCTCCTCAGTGCTCCCACTGATTGCACAAGGTTAACCTGCAGAGTCAAGCAGTACGTAGTCAGCAGCACTGACATCAAACCGTGAATACACAGGGTCCACAATTCCTCTAAACACTTTTGCGTAAGTGTTAATGTAGTGACAGTGACATATATTTAAGGAATGATATATAGTTTAAAATGTTGCCACCTTCAGGAGTGAGATAAAAAAGGCAAAGAGACTTACTCTTCATGGAAGCTGTGAAAGCTAATAGTTTGATGACTTATTCCAAAAGAATAATTTATCGCTACTTTTGCAGCTCCTCTGTGGTTAGAGTCCGACTGGTTGAAGTGCAGGGCAGTATCTTGTTCCTGTCTATAAGAAGTGAGGTCATTCAGTGTATGCATGTTCAAGCTATTACTGGCTTAATATGGCAGTTGCTCTCATATAATGTGGGTTAGTGTCCTTTACCCTCCTTGCCTCCTCTGTGTTGCCAATACTAAACAGTGGGTTTCGGAAAAAGTAGTGACATTATTGGAGGATTCTATCTGTAACAGAATTGTGAATTTACTCAGCCTCTGTTCAGTCCTCCTTTTCAGAGCTCACTGAATTAAGAGTTTGTCTCATGATAACCCATTCAGGCACATGAGGTTCCCAAACAGAAGTATTCCTGTAGTTTAAAAAAAGGCAACTGAAGTTCCTGGAGTTTTCTCCTCTGCAGAGTCCCACTTCCGTTACCATTCTCCAGATACTTCCATGTCCATAGAAGTATTGCTGTCAATGCTTTTTTTGTTCGTTTTTCATTCTTTTGCAATGTTTTCACTGATAAATTGCTGTCAGAATAAACTAAACTGTATGGAGATGACAATTCTGCCACCTATAAAAAGCAAGAAATCCAGGCAGCCATTTGATATCTCTGCAGAGGGCATCCCAAGAAAAGGGAGTCCCTAGGAAAAATGGAAGATCAAAGGAGTAAAATATAGAAACCCTTTGTAATGGATAGTGTTAACATTAATAGCCCTTATTAATTTATGCCTAACTGAGATTCTGTTTAACTCAGAGAAACATATAGACAGATTGGAGGACCTGAAATCTATTAAATGAGATCTGAAACAATGATTCAGATTATATCTGTTTCAGTTTGTTTTTTTTTTTGGTTGGTTGTTTTTTTAAATTATTTTAAATTACCACTTAAAACATTATTTTGAGGTATAGACTTATTTTAGTGCTTTTTAGTGTTTTAAGATACTCTCTACATGTTTTAGTTTGCTCACATTAATTATCTTTTCCTTTTAGCATGAGTTCTCCACATTTATCTTTAACATGTTATAAATAGTTTATATGTACCCTTGGACTGTAGTTATCTATTATTTTAATATAAATATTAATTGCATGACATACAAAACTTCATATCAGTCGTCTTTAAAGACGGTGTAGAAAGCCAGAACTATTTGAGATAATCATTGAATTTATGCTTTTGGAAGCCTGCTATTTTCTACCTTTGCTGATGGCCAGTCTTGTATAGTGCTGTATGTCGTTACCATTTTCACTGATAAAGCTGAATTGCTAAATAATGACCAATCTTAATTTAATGATGTATTTACAAACTATGAGACAAATAAATTCTTAGTGCTTTCTTTCTGTGTTTATGGGCATAACCACTATTATTTCTCATGAGAGTTGTACCTGAAGCTTCCTTTACATACTAAGTCAGAAATTTGTCTCAAAGAAATGACTCCTGGTGTTCTGTGGTTTCAAGGGAGATGAGTGTGCAAAAATGTAAATTGGCTTGTGAGAAAGTCTGATTTTCTTTTTTTTTATAATACTATCTGCTATCCTTAAAATTGCTCTCTAGAATTATGTAGAATTCTCTGGAAGGAATTTAAACATAACAAGTCTAATTCCTGTACTGCTGGAAATTGTTAAAATGGTATTTGTATAGCAGAAATTCATTTCCAGCAATAATTTTCATGTTTCTGTACTCTGTTATTTAATCCTTGAAAAGAAAAACCAGTCAAGTAAAATCTTCACTGATTTTACAATATATTGTAGGCAGTTGCAGACACTACAGCTTCCTGGCAGGAACATGCCAAAAGGGTAGAATGGAAGCAATCTTCTATAGACTGCTTGTAGGTATTAGCATTGAGCCTACTTATCTACATGGAAAAATATGTTTTGGCACATCTTCTTTCATAATCAGGGATATGACTGTAGGCAACAGGAATAACAACTCCGTTAGCACCACTGCAGAACATGGGAATTTTGCCATAGACCTCAGTGAGGTCCGGGTTTAAATACAGTACTGCTCAAGCGCTGAGAACAAAAGCAGTTCAATAGCATTTCGTAATAAGCAGCTGATCCTCTTGCCATAATTGGATCACTTTTCTCCTAGAACACCTCTTTCCCAGCATGTGGAATTCCAGCAGTGGATCAGCGAAACTGGCAAAATCCCATTCTGAAGAAGGTTGAAGCAAACCCAAAAGGTTGTCCTTACAAGGCTCTACCCTGATTCCTTGCAGCAATGTAAATAGAAATTTCATGCAATAAGAACTGATTGGGCCCATATCTTCATTTCTGAGTCCTAACAATGTGTGACAGGTCAAACAAGTTACAGGGAAATCTTAAATAAGTAATCTCATAAATCATGTTCTGGAAGCTTGTTATTCCTGAAGATTTATCAGTCATATCTTCTGTTTTCTCCTGTGCTTATCAACTAGGCTTATCAACATTGCAAGCTGTGTTGGATTCTGCTGCTGAAAAGAAATGGCAAGTGACTGCTATCAATGTAGGAAATATTAACAATGACAGAAAAGATGAAACTTACCGTTCACTGTTTCAAGATCTAGAGGTTAAAAAGGAAAGGCGAGTGATTTTGGACTGTGAGCGCGATAAAGTCAACGACATTGTTGATCAGGTTTGCTATTCTCCATTTTTCTGTGACATCAGTTAGCTATAGTCTATAAGTAAACGTAATGAGTTCATTTCTCTTGATCTTATTTTTGTGATTGTTATGCATCATTTGGAAGTGACAAGTTTGTATTGAGGGCCACATATATATTAGGCAGAAAGTGAACATACAAATCTTATAATCACTCCCTTTGCTCAAAGTCAAGATAATTCTATCTGGATGATCCCGCATGGTTTTGTAGCCTGATTGTTTAAACAAACAAACAAACAAACAAAAAAACAACAAAAAAAATCTCGTTAAGACTGTTTCACAACCTAAGTAGTATACTATATTATATGTAGTTGATACACTATTATATATTGTGCATTATAAATAGTTATATAATGTCTAGGGATTAGTTCTCCTTACACCTAGAAAGTGTTTTCTACTTCTAATGCTTTTTCCAAGAACCTTTACATCTTGGGAAGGCTGTATCAAAGCTTCTGTTTTCCATTTAACTCCTTTTGTAGTTCATGTTTCTAAGCTCTTTGTCATTCATACTGTCCTTGGGTCTCTCTTCATTTTGTCTACCTCTTAAAGTGTGTTAACCAAAATCGGATGCTGTTTTCCATAGCTAAGGACTCCTGAGCTTTAAACAGAACAGAAAAATTTTGTCTCCTCTCCACCCACACATATATTATTTACCAGAATGATTTTTTTTTTTTTTTTTTTTTTTAATTTTTTACAACAGCATCACAGTGCTCCGATTCAAATTATTGCCTTACCTTCAAATCCACCTCTTCAATCCTAGCGTCTAGGAATGTCTTACTGTCTCTGTATCTTACTTCTTCTTTTCATGCATGCAGAGAACAATGGAATATTATAAGGATAGCTCCCTGCTGGCTTGAGCTTGACAATGTGAGGCTGTGCATCATCAGAGTGTAGATGTATTGGTTTGAAGCTTTTTCGAAGGGCTTGTTATTTTTGGTCTTTGTTATGAATGTCATTGCCTAAGCCTCTCTAAAATGTAATGAGCAGTGTCCTAAATGAAGTGCACTGTATTTGTCTGTTTTATTTGGAATTCATATCCACAAACTGTTTCTCTAATTTTCAAGATCAATTTGAATTTGATCCTGTTCTCCAGAGCATTTGCAACCTCCCTATCATCTGCAGTTTTTTAAAATCATATTTTTCTGACTTGTTATCCATGTCAAGAAAAGTACTGAGTAGAGCAATACTTGAGAAAATTAATACTTACAGATCCTCTTCAGCTGTTCTGTGTGGCTTTTCAAATGGTTGTTTGCTTACCTTACAGTGACTTTTTGTCTTGTCCATGTTCCCTTAAGAGCTTGTAATGATGTCATACAGGACAAAAGCCTTATTAGACTCAAGATATGTCTCATCTGCTGTTTCCCTGTCATCTGTTAGGCTAGCTACCATGTCAGAGAAAGGAAAGAAATTGCTTTGACATATTTTAATCTTGATAAGAGTGTATTGACTGTTTATCGTCTTATTATCGTATAGATTCTTTTGAAATTAAGTATGTAATATTCATTATAATCTCTTCCCTGATATGAAAGTTTGGCTGACTGTAAGTTTCTTCAGTTTCTCCTTTTACCACTTTTTAAAGACAAGAACCTTACTTATCCCTCAGTTACCACTCACTTTTACTATCTTTGTTTAGTAATAGACCTATTATTTTCTTTGGTTTCTCTTATTTTGATTGCAGGTCTGGGATATTTTTCTTGCCCTGATTGCACTTTGATAGATTCTGCCTTGTTTTGAATGTTAGATTTTCTCAGCTTGTCCCCACAGACTTGTGCTACTCCTTAAGCATACGGATGGATAAACTTTTGTTTCTGCTGTTTTGATTTCTAAGTCACTGAAGAATTCTAGGTAACTGTGGATCAGCCACACAGGTCAGTTAATATAATTCCAATTAGTTGTTCTCCTGAAAATAGTTTTCTGCTATGTCCTAGAATATGGTCTCTTAAACTGCTGTCAGCTGTCTCATATGGTTTTAGCCTTGACATTCTCTTTGCAAGATACCCTAGCAGTTTCTGGAGTTTGGTCTGTTTTTAAGTCCATTATCCTTACGCTCTGTTTCTGTAAGTTCCCTTCCTTACATAAAAAGGTAAACCCACTTCAATTTCTCAAGTAGCCTAAAATAAAATCTAAAATAACTGTTTCTCTGTTAATTTTCTCCATCTCTTAAAATGAAGGTCTGTGCTGAACAAAGGATTTCTTGACCTGTGAGTATCCTTTGAGTGTGTTCTTCTGATTTTCTTTTCTGAAAGCAGAATATGTACTTCGAGTCTTGCTTTGCTACCAGATCTATTCTTTAAAAAATTCTTTTAATTGTTGCCGCCAAACAACCCTCAGCAATTTACTTCTTTTCATGAGGCACCTGAAGTAGACCCTTTGTATCAGTATCCCTTTTCTTTTTCTATGTATTTTTACCGATAGGTGCAACAGGCTTTCTGTTGACCAGATTTTTCTTGAATACTGAAGTATTACTTGCATTCTTGATATATAGAGCAGCAACTTCTTTACCTTCTTCCTTGCTTTCCATTCTTGAACAAAACTTCTGTTGTAGTGCTTTGATTTATCCCACTTACTTTCTAAGCTGTGGTGGCAACCTCAGGTTCACCCAGTTACCCTCTGTAGTCCTTGGATCTTTGTGCAGACACACGATGTTTTTGCAAAGTTGCTTCATCAATCTTGGTTTTGTCTCACGTTACAGTTTCTCTTCCAGATTTCAATCATTTATATAAGTTGAAGTTGAAAAATATTTTGGTTCCCCATCTTTCCTAAGACTAGTTTATATTCCTCTTCTCTATTTGGCAGTTCAGTGTTACCATGCTCTTCATTATCTCTTCTCAGCCAGCTTCCTTTGCAGAATCTCATTTCCCCCTGATTACACCCTTTAGGCAGATGTGGAATTAACTGCCACTTCTTGTCTATCCCTGCTTGAGATACTAGTCTAAACTAGGGACATTGGTGAATACCTTTTGTGTCCACAGCTGCTCCATCATGGCTTTTGGAGCCACCACTGAATCTTCTCAGAGTTTTAACTAGCAGCATCCTTAGTGTTCATATGGATGAGTGGCACAACTTTAGAAAGCTAGATTAATTAAATAGTACCCAGTGGGAGTTAGAGCAGAGTTACTAACCATGGATCTAAAGACTTGCAGCAACTGGTCATTTTCTCAGATACCAATGACAAAGAAGCATTTTATGCAGAAGAGCTAATCTGTTTGGTCTAACTGAAAATTTCTTTGGAAGCAGCAGCTGCATAAGAAATACATCTGAACACAGTTCTTAAACCTTTTAATAAGTAATGAGTTTTAAGTAGTCTGTACCAAGTAACTGTTTTAGAATAATAAAGTTCATATATCATGTATAAATTAAGCTCAAAAGAGGAATAATTTAATAACTTCTCTGGCCTGTGTAATATGATCCCTCTCAATCTCAAACTGTAGTAATATAAAACTTAGTGTTAAACACTGCCTTCAGTTATATTCCTGTAACTTCATTAAAGCAAGTACGTGGAATGTTGTTCACTACTAGCCTGATACAAGTTACAGGATACCTATTCTGAATATTTTAGTTATATATTAAATGGGGAAATAAATGAATCATCCTCTCTTGATTTAAGTTGTTTTCATTGTTCAAAAGATGGAAGAAACCTCTAGAGTCCTCTTATCTCCCACATCCTTTCTCTGGAGAAGTGTTTTGCTTCAAAATGCAGAATTCCCCATGCAGACATAGTCTTAATTAGGCTTATTTGGGAGAAGAATCCATGCTACATGCCTGCCAGTGGAGACTACTGAGAAACCACCAGCTGGCTTTGAGGGAGATTATGAGGAAGCCTTTGGGCAATAAACAACAATTTGAACTTCAAAAGACTTCCTCATAATGTAGATGCTTTCATTAATGTCAGTGGGCTTTTAAACTTTTTATAGTTCAAGGTACGTTACAATTCTGCTACAAAGGGAGCAGAAACTAAGCAGGAATCTCTGAGGCACAATGCTTCTACTGCATGACGCCCGCTCCCTCCTGTCCAGGTTGTGGCGTTAATACATAGCATAGTAATTAGCATTCAGCTCCTCTGTTTACAGATCTTAGGACTTGGACTTCAACATGACTAATTTCCGCCAGCAGAGAGTATGTTCAGTGGTGCATTAGGTGAAATAAAAAGTGAAGCACTGGACAAACTCAGTATTGCATGCAATAAAGCTCATAACTAGCTTTTACATCATACTGCATTTTGTAGTTTTTAAGTCTCAGTCCATATATCAGGTGAACATTCTCCATTATGGGGGTATTTCTTCTTTTTTACAGGTTATCACAATTGGTAAACATGTTAAAGGATACCATTATATCATTGCAAATCTGGTAAGCATTTTTAATATTTAAAATACCTGTATTACTCATTTTACTGTTTATGGAAGCACATCAACTAGTATTTTGTTTTAGATGCATTTTAGAAAATAGAAAAAAGCTAAATATCTTTATCCTTGCTAAATGAATGCATGTGTTGAGATGGTATTTGGTTTATTGGCTGAGTCTTTTCAGGGCTCAAATGCCTCCCATGATATTCCCATCAATGGGAGTGAAGGTTGCTCAGCACCTTCAGTAGAGCTTCATCCCTTTTTCTACATACTTTAGAAAAGTAGGGTATGGAAATCAGAAAAATAACTTTCCATATGATAGGCTGATACATTCTTTCAGCAAACTGATGTTTCTTCTCTCATCTCTAAAGTACTTAATTTCCACTTTCATTCTGCTAGATTAGTGAGTCTCAGCTTTACACATTGTCATGGTTTAACCTGGCAGGCA